CAAACAAGAGCACGTTAGTGGTTTGTGTGTGTGTGTGTGTGTGTGTGTGTGTGTGTGTGTACTTGCGTGCGTGCGTGCGTGCGTGCGTGTTATTCCCATGTCTGTCCTCATTGCATAATGAAGGTCCCACCTTTCAGTGTGCCATGTCCTCCCACTCTCTCTCTCTCTCTCATTTTCTTTATGTACCACTATCTACCTCTCCCTTGTTGTGTCTTTCATTCTATTTATCCCTCCATCTCTCTTTTCCTCTCTGTCCATCTCTCCTTCCCGGAGGCCATGTGTTTATTTCTATCTACCGTCCATCTGTTAGTATGAGTGTTTAAGCTGCCGACTGCTCCTCTATTTGCTTCACTTCGCAGGTGTCCTTCCCTCCTCAAACTATTTCTTTTTCTCTGCCATTCTCGCTTCTTTCTTCTTCTTCATCTCTAGATTCATTTTTGTTTAAAGGAATAAGATTTTGGAAATTGGTCCAGTTGGTCAACTCATTTAGTAAGTGTAATGTAGACACTACTCATCTTTTCCCATGCAATCACTGTAAAATACACTTTTCTGAATGATTCAAGGAAATAAGTGTCTTTTTCGAATGCCAGAACACTGGAATTTCTTAATAGCGCTACAGCTAAATGTCAAGTTATCTCAAATTAAATGTGATAATAAACAATGGTGGCTTTTGTTGATTTTTATAAGGTCAGGAAAGACAAAAATAGGACTAAAAATATAATGTTGTTATGTTACCTGGAAATACTTTTCTCATAGGACACAATGTGCCACATGTTTTACATTGCCAAAGGGGAAAGCACAGTGAGTAATAGTAGAGTGTGTACAGCTAAAGAGCTGCACAGTGTGCTCACCTTTGTTTTGGGATAATGTAGTTTTTAAAATAAATTATGTAATAAGATTACTTTTTCTGAATTACAGACTCATGTAATGCATCAAGTACTACATCATCAATGTGTTTCCCAAAATAGCATTCCTGCAAAAAGATGAGGAAGGATTTAAAATGTCATTTTCATTAACTAAGCAATGCCATGGATGCCACGTTTGTCCTTTGCATGTTTTTAAAACCTGAGGGAATAATTGTGCATAAGCTTTTACTCATAGAAAAATGCCAGTAGCATCATTGAGCTTTTTAAAGTGAATGTAACATAAAGGCAATGTGCTCATACAAATAAAAAGCACCACTTAACATTTTAAAAAGCACATCTAAACAGTCTTCAGATCAGTCAAGTTACATATTAAGATGGGATGATGTAACCGCTGGCTCGGTTATTATAACAACAGAGCTTCTGAATTGTTTTTGTTTCATCAAGAAGAAGAAGATAATAAGCTGCTTAAATTTGCTTTTTATTACCAATACCATCACTGTGGGTATCTTCCATTTCCACACTTACGTACATACCTAGTCCTTTTGCTCTTGAGTGTGTTTTGTGAATGCTCAAGCTTGGCCTTACAATGGAGTTTAATGACTGCTGGATGATGGTTCAAGAAAAATCAAGAGCGTGAATTGGATAGGCCTCAACATAACTCTCAAAAGTCCATGAGTATTTTCCACAGGGAAGACATATGCTTACTAGTGTTATTCGCAAATTAATGTACTATTAGTCTTTAACATTTTATAATGAAAATTTGCTATTTAACATTGTAGTGTAGTGTGCATGACCGGCTAGAATCATCTACTAGGCTCACATAGATGATTTTGTTGTCTGTATTACTCACTACCTGCTTCCCCAAAACTCCCAAAAACCTGCATGTGTATTCTTTCATCCTCACTGTGTCTGTCCGACCTCTCTGTATCTGCCAGCTCACCTACTTTCTTTACTTTATAGTCCATTAAATGTGTGAATAAACACACTCATGCACAAAGAAACACATACACGCAGACCCCCATTTGCTGGGTGAATCATCCAATTTGTGTTTTGGAGTACAACTCTTACTATAATGTTAGCACACACACACACACACACATAACATGGGATGGATACAGAGTGTCCCAAGCCCACTGTTAGAGACTGCATCCTCCACACAAACACTGACACAGAGCTTGACATACACTCTTAGTATGACTCCCACACACACTCTCCTCTCCTGTCACACACACACAAACACACTCTTGTTCAAAGTGGTTTATTTTCGTTGATCATCAGAGAAGAGGTGAGGATACAAGAACAAAAAGATGAGGCTTGTGGCAGGGGCAGAGGTAAAAGGTGGAGGACAAAGAGCAGGATGTGATTTTTTTTTTCATGGTTGAGAATTATTGTAATGAGTTTCTATAGGAGAAATTCTAACCATTGTTACTATGACAACACATGAAGGCCAGCAGTGTTCGAATATACCACTGCCCTGAGGCTACCTGGGGGTTTGCCAGGTGTAAGTGTGTGTTGATGTGTTGTTGTGGGTGAGTGGATGGTGGCAGGGCGAGAGTTTACCCTACCACCTTCCACAACACGTTTAAATACAGGGAACCTTTTGTTGTTCTTGTATACAGCCAAAAGTGTATGTTGTCTAACTCACAACTCATAGCAGATAATGCAATTCATGTATGCATGCATGTCTTCATTTGCATTCTTATATCTTCATTCATGCATGTTAGAATGCACTCTACTTTAATTCCCTCCATTTAGCATTTAAAAGCAGTATATACACATTTATTAAATGGTTATTTCATACTATAATGTAGCATATAAGTAAATTCTGCTATTTGTCAACAACTGCAGTATAACTCCTCCTGTGGACATCATGTACATGTATCAGTGGTTTTGGTTATAAGCCATTTATCATATGTTTACATAATGTCCATAAATGCCATATGGAGGGTCGGGGTTAAAGTAAAGTGTTTTTGTTTTTCTTTCATCTACTACAGCCTCTTGATATATTGTAGTTCTGGATGGGTCATCTGGTTAAGAGATGCAGATTAGCTGCCATTTCAGACCTATTTTGCGCTTTTGTCTGTCTCTAAGTGCTTGCATTGTGCACACTAATTGAGCAAATTAAATGTCACATTTTCTGTGTCTGTTGAACATCTTCTCCTCATTCCTCTATTCGTTCCTGCTGACCTGTTTCAGAAACTATTTTTCTCTGCTCCTCCTGCTATAAAGCGATGCTGTTTTTACCTGGAGGTGTGTTGATGTTACACAGACACACAGATGGGTGATTCCCCCTTTTTTTCTGACAGCTACATCGATGGCTGCGCTGTAGTGGAGGAAGCGAGGGAAACACCCAGGCGTATGAAACAAATCACAGCAGCGCAGCCATCATCAGCCGTGTCACTATGTGGAGATTGCACAGGGAACCCTGCTGAAATCAAATGGATGCAGGCGTATACACAAACAAACTCTCATACACACACACACGCATGTGCACACTCTTTAACGCTTCCATGCACATACACACATAGCCTGCCTTGACAGACCAATCAGCACCCCACTGTTTCTGACCGAGGAGGACAATTTTGAACACACACAAAAACACACACACACACACACACACACACGCACTGTTGGAAATGTGCACACTCGCACTGCACTTGTACATGCTGTACTGTAGCAATTTTGTAGGTTATTTTACCTAAAGCACAGACATGTATGAATGCTCTAAGGGTTTTCTATCGGCTCTCATCATATTTTATTCATAGTTTTTGAATAAACACAAATAGAGTGGATGAGTGTATAGACGTGGGCACTAATGCCTGTTTGTGCGTTACATTTTTACTGAACCCAGCCAAAGTTATTTTTGGCTAACCTGTCTTATCGTTCAAGAGTGTGCGCGATGAAGTCTTGGCTATTTCCTACACGCTTCAAAATGTTGCATGCTCCCTCGCTCTCACTCTCCAACTCACTATATCTCTTTTATTCTCCCTCTCTCTCCCACTGTGAGACTCACACACTCACAAGCAGGAAGGAAGAGCACTCATACATTTTCATTAAACACTCTTAATCTTAATTCATTACTTATCAGGAGATATGTGACCTCATTAACATTGCCTTCTTCTCCATCTTTCTCTCCTCCTATCCTGTGCACACACCCTCGCCTCCAGCATTCATCCCTCTCTCCAACTGGTGTTTCCTTCCTTCCCCATTTATATTTACTCATAGCTCTTCACTGTCTTTATCTTTTCTTCCCTTCTCCCTTTTTTTTCTCTTGGTGCCTGCCCTTCAGAGGAACCTGTGAGCACTCAACAGCCCATTGAAAACAGTGTCTAATCTGAAAGTTAATTAAGTCTGTCTTCCTCCCTGTGTTCCTGCTCCTCTTCTCCTCTCAAGCATGTCTTTCTGGTTGAGAGACTGCTGTCACTCTCTCTCAAATGCATTTGCCATATGTCCCATGTGGGCCGAGCTGGAATACAGACAAACCAGTCTGTGTTTTACACTTTTACACTTCCTGCAGGCCTCGAACCTCCGGTGACAAGAGAAGACTGACACCATGTAATTCGAATTGACAGCATCTAATTAAATGAAATTTGGTGGTGTCAATCTTTGAAGTGTTTTCTTTTTCATCTATAAGGGGCATATTTTTCAGCTACATATAGAGGCGATATAGAAGGGATCTCACACCAGATGGATTGGAAGTGAAAATAGACTTGGCTTGCCTCTCGACATGAGGAAATGTGGATCTGGAACAGAGCTATCCCTCTTAATCCTCTCCTCTCTCCCATTCACTTCTCCTTCTGTCGTGCGGCTCCCTTCCTCATATTTGTCCTCGCTCCCTTCAATCATCTGGGCTAATTCCCTGGCCAAAAAGCCACCGATTTACCAATTCCTCCTCTTTACTGACTGACTCAGTGCTCTGTTTTCTCCTCCTCCTCCTCCTCCTCATCCTCCTCCCTCCCTCCCTCCCTCTCCTCTCCTAGGGTGCAGGCTGTACGGCTCTGGTGGTTGCCGTGGTAGCCAGGAAGCTGGAGCTGACCAAGGCTGAGAAACACGTACACAACTTCATGATGGACACGCAACTCACCAAGAGGGTGTGTAGGCTTGTGTGGTATCGCTGGTGTGAATGAGTGTGTCTTGCATAAATAAAACCAAACTATAATTTTTAAAAGAAAGCATGTATTTTCTACATACACTGTGGTGGGACTCTAATAGAACTGTAATTTAGAAAAGTACAGTTTGTATGTGTTATTGTCCTTTTGGGTGATGTTTTGCTATATTTTCAGATTACTTTGGGGTTGACAAGGTGGTTGAGAGCCCTGCAAAACGACTTGTCCTTTCACTGCCCCTCCTTCACCATCCCCAACTTTTACATCACACTATCACCTTGTATTGTTGTGACAAACTGCCATGTTATTTGAGTGAAGGCAATAAAAGGTCATCTCTTTCTCACCCTCTCTGTTCTGCTCTCTCACTTACCATCTCTCTCTTTCTTTCCATCTCCGATACTTTTCCTCCCACATGGCCATCCCTCCACCCAACTGCCTCCCCTCTCCTCTGACATTTGTCTCTCTTTCAGTAAAACCCTTTTTCCATTCTCTCTTTCTCTCTATCTATCACCGTCTCTCCTGTCCTCCCTCCTTTGCCCTCTAGTTCCCTTCGTTCTTTCCCCCTTCGTGCTTCCTTCTCTCCATCTCTCACTCCCTCCCTCCTCCAGTCCTTTTCAATTTTTCATACAGTTGAAAGACCCAAGTTTTAAAAATAGCTCCCATATCAAATATGTAGGGTACATTATGGCAGCAGGGTATCTGGGTGACTGAATGGTGTAGGGTGATCAATAATTTCAGCGTAGATAAAATATCGACAGAGATGGACTCTCTGTTGGAGCCGGGCTCTCACCTCATCTTCCTGTAGACTCTGTCCAGGTCAGCCGGTCTGTTTTCACAAGATGATTAACACCTTGCACTCTCTCTCTCTCTCTCTGTGGTGTGTGTGTGTGTGTGTGTGTGTGTGTGTGTGTGTGTGTGTTTGTGTGTGTGTGTGTGTTGTGTGTGTGTGTGTGTGTGTGTGTGTGTTGTGTGTGAGTGAGGGAGGGAGAGAGAGAGAGAGAGTTTCTGTATGTGGATTATTTACAATCTTGAATTCAGCTGACCATCTGAAGCAGTTGTTCCCAACCTGTGTCTGATGAATGGTTTTTAAACTGGGTGTTATATAACATATATATATAAAAGTGGATATTGTTCTAATATTTTTATATACATTACATACTGATCTTGGAATTGTCATATTTAGACTTTGTCTCTTTCTAAAGTCTTCTTTAAAACTCCATTTGACTTGAATATCTCAACAACCTCAGCTGTACTTGTTTTGTGCAAGTGTAAACCCAACGTCACAAATTGGTTTGTGGAGTACCTCTTTGAAGCTTCGAGTCTGGCATTATGGTCATTGCCATTGTTGTTTTTTCAGAGCCAGCGGCGGTGACGTACTCTACATGAGTTGCACTCATGGGCTGCGCAGTTTTGACTCATCCGTGGCAGGAAACAGTGGCAGGTCTCACATGCAGTGACACAATAAATGGCCATAAAGGGGACCATAATTTACTAAATGAACTTGAAACTAGCAATCAAGACCATAAACTCATTCAGAAATTGTTTACTGAGCTAATCAATCTCAAAAGTCAGAAGCTGGGTAATTTTTTCATAAAACTCAGTACTATCAGACTTTTTTGGAGCCCAAATGCCCTACATGACATCAGCATGTTAGCATAGTCATTGAGATTATACTAGGATGCTCATGTTAGCACTTAGCTCAAAGCATGGCTGTAGGCTCTTACTTAGGTAAATTTGGTCAAGTTTGTATTCATTCACAGCCTATTTATATCTTCATGGAAACTCACATTTATACCAACTGTGGTAGATAACTGCACAATAATTCATTTATCCAGTAGTTTTAGAAATGTCAACTTCCCTTGTTACTGTAAATATACTAAAGACTGAGGTCTTGTCTACATGTATAGCAGATATTTAAAAAAAAATCTATTTCACCTCTGACAGAACCTTTGTTTTACAAAATATCTCGTCCACATATGAACGCAAAAAAGCTTCAAACAAACACACCTGCCCAGTAGATGGGAATAAAGTCTACCTCAATGATACATCAAATGCCAGACCGGGTTCTGAGCATGCGTAGTGAGCTTATTAGGTGGTAGTAAGTTAATAACACAAGCAATAGTAGCTAATTATTTATTTATCTATAGTTATTTGACAGGTATTTCTTCACACACACACAGTGCTAGAGGCTAAAGGAAAAGTTTGTTGTCAACAATATCCATATACGTGTGGACAAGGCCTCAGCCTAACACTAATTTGTAATCCTTTGTTTCTTTTGCTAATAAACTCATGTCAAATCATAATTTGTTTTTCAAATTAGTCTTATGTTTCTGAAGTTTTTAATTTCTGAATGGAAAATAATATTTTTTGTACCTTTTACAAGCTATTACATGCCATTCATTCCAGAAATATAAATAAAACTGATAAAGACATACATTTTAAAGTGAATTCCCCTACTCAATCCAGTAAATCACAATCTTAACAAAGGCAGTCATTGGGTAAGGGAGGTGCTATATTGCAGTTTCATTCAACTCAATACAGCATGCTGCTTGGTGACATTTCCTTCAAAGGGTCTTCGGTTTATGCAGTGGTAATTGTCTCCTGCCCTCTATTACTGAGAGACCACTGATTGAAGCTGTTGTATGCACATTGATTTACATGGCTGGGGCCATTCTCTGCCATATCATCGTAACAAGAGAATACAGTCACTCAAGGCTTTATAATGAATAATGCAACGATAGACTCTACATCCTGCCTTCATCGTATGTGAATACACAAATAGATTCAAAAGCACACACACTTTCTACATTAGTGAAATGGTCTTTCCGTCCCTTTGAAGGATTAACAAGAATGTCACTTAAATGCCAATCAGTGAAGCTCTTGGCTAGTAGACTGTGTTGCTGGTAATATCTCTGTTTGATGTTGTCGTCTTTATCTTTATTTACACGTGTTGGGTGTAGTTGTCCACCAGTACTTAAATGTTACAGAGCTAAAGCCCTTAAACTGCAAGCAAAGTAACTTCTACACAACAAAGTAAAATAAACTTTTCCTTAGACGTATGTGTACCTCACAGATCATTTTAGTTCAAATGTGTGTGGTATTTTTGACACTTTCTGACACATACTTCAAAATATTTTCACTTTCTATCATATGAGTGTTCTCTGCTTTCATCCTCAGATCAGAGTTTTAGACGCTGCCGACAGGACTGAAGTAGAAATCTTGATATCTCTTGTGGCGCAGATTGGGTGCGGAGGACCTAATAACCTTATCAGGAAGGATGATGTGCTTTAAAAACATCATTCAAAGTTCAATGCACAGGGTTAATTTTTATGCAGTGTTCAGTGAACTGAAGTGTTCCTCTCCCTTTGATAGGATTAATATGGATGTTAATTAAATAACAGTTAACATAGTCCCTAAGTCGACTGTGTGTGTGTGTGTGTGTGGTTATAAGTGCTCATGTTTGATGTCAGGACTTGTTGTCTTGATGTAGAGTGTTAAACATCTTTTTAACATTGGTTAATTCAGAGCACCGTCAAAAGTCTGTCTGGTCAGACCACTCAGAGCGCTCTCGACACTGAAAAAACAGGACATGCTTACTGTAGGCGCTAAGTCAGTGGAGTGGTGTCTCCTTCCTTTTGATGGCACTACCATGCCACTAACTGAAGCAATAAGTCAATTGACCTTGTGAATATGGCTGACTGAGTCCGTTTCTGAGGTCAGTGTTTTTATTTCAAGCTTTTTAAGTCTCGATGGAAAGTTGAAAATGTCAGGTCTTTCTATAAATTTGTACTCCGAATGTGTGTTCTGCCTCCACTCTGGGCCATTGGTTAATTCAGAGCACTTTCAGAAGTCCCTGTGGCATATTCAGAGCTTCGCCCTCTCTGAATATTCAGAGTACACTCTGGGCTCTGGCCAAGGAGGAGGTACTGGAATGCCTTCCAATGTTTACACCACTAGCCAAATGGGAGCAATTTAACCCCCGAAGATTTCAACTAAGCTAGCTTTCAAAAAAATGTATTTGATACTCTGAACTGAATGCATTTACACATCTTTTTTCCCACTCTTTACCAGTTGTGAGCCAGAGTGCGCTGTCTAGATTAATGAAAGGTTCTCTGTCCCCCATTCAGGAGACACAAAACGTATGAAACCAGAGGAAGACAAATATTATTTAAATTTTATGAAATGTTTTATGAGTCTTCATTGAGTTTTTTGAGCCTCTGTCTTGTGTTTGCATGCATTCATGGATTTCTGACCCATGTTTGCATGTCCACTTGTGTGTGTGTGTGT